TCTCTTTCCGGTTGACAGCCTATAAAATCGCAGCCATTTGTCTTTGGCCATTCATTTGCACCATGGCAGCCCAACCTATGATTGTTGTGCAACTTGTGGAAGTGGATGACAGTCCTGTCAAAGTATTTACCCGCAATGGTAAAACTGTCATCATCACTCCGGATGACATCTACCTTTTGGAAGAGTCGGCGGTGAACGAGACACCTCGAAGACGGAGAATCACTCCAGAGCTGTTAGCCAGCGTCCGTCAGAGGTTCCGTCACAGAGTTCGTCGAAGGCTCTTCTAAAAGGAGTGAGTTAAAAAAACAGCCCTTTTCAGGGCTACCTAATCAAAATAAAAGAGTTCCCTTTACCCCTTGAGATTTCCCTTTGGGATTTCCCCTTGAGGTTTTACCCTTGGGATTTCCCCTTTGGATTTCCCCTTGGGATTTCCCCCTTGGGATTTCCCCCTTGGGATTTCCCATGACGTCATCGGGATTCCCGTAGGGGTTTCCCCAATGACGTCATCTCCCTAGCAACGGAAGTCACGCATGCGCATCCTTAAACCGGATGTGACGTCATCCCTAGCAACCATTATGGCGTCATCCGTTGCCTAGCAACCAAAGTTCCTAGCCCTAGCCCCCTACTACTGTCAGGTAGGTAATAAGAGAGAGCAAACAACTTACAGATATAACCTATACATGATAATGATTTAATTGTTGTCTGTAGTATTGAAAAACATAGTAACGTACCTTTAGTTCAGATTGTTATGAGTGTATTTTATTCTCATTTCAGAATATCATTTTCTACATTATTGTAAGTAGTAAGCGAGTGATTATCGGTACCAGACGCTGATTGGCTGAGACGTACCAAGTGACTAAATATGACGTAGTAGTAGGGGCATGTCTTCAGGGACTTTAGTTGCTAGGGATATGACGTCATTGGGAAAACCCCGAGAAATTCCTTGATGACGTCATTTTGTCCTCATTTTGGGAAAGTAGTAATAAGCGAGTGATTATGGGTACCAGACGCTGATTACAGGTAAATACTTTAATAGGCCTGTCATCCACTTCCAAGATTTGGACAACAATGATAGGTTCGGTTGCCATGTTGCAAATGACTGGCCAAAGACAAGTGACTGCGCTTTTTATAGGCGGGAAACTGGAAAAAGGGCTTTGGATTGGATAAAAAAGATCACGTGGTATTTATTTTTTAAACTTTAATTAATTCAACTTAAATCCATTAACTCTAACATATTGTCTAAACATGTTTCGCCATCTTCAAAAGACAAA